GGAACTGTCCTGGGAGAGCAGGGATGTGTCCTGGGAATGCACAGCCCAGTGGGAGAGCAGGGAAGTGTCCTGGGAGAGCAGGGATGTGTCCTGGAAATGCAGGGATGTGTCCTGGAATGCACAGCCCAGTAGGAGAGCAGGGAAGTGTCCTGGGAACGCAGGGATGTGTCCTGGGAATGCAGGGATGTGTCCTGGGAATGCAGGGATGTGTCCTGGGAATGCAGGGATGTGTCCTGGGATGCAGGGATGTGTCCTGGGAATGCAGGGATGTGTCCTGGAATGCACAGAGGCAAAGCAGCCCCCAACCTCCCCCCCCCGAGGGGCAAGACCCCCAAGGCCACTGAACACTACCCCCCTGTCCCCATGGATCCATCCCTGCAGGATGATCCCGGGGGGATCAGGGGAGGGGAAGCTGTGGCACAGCAACACTACGACCCCCAACAAACACTAAGCCAGGCCTTGCAGGGCAGGGGCTGAGCCCAGCCTGGGGGGCTGAGCCATCCCTGGGGGGCTGAGCCCTTCCTGGGGGGCTGAGCCCTTCCTGGGGGGCTGAGACTTTCCAGGGGCTCTGAGCCCTTCCTGGGGCTCTGAGCCATTCCAGGGATGCTGAGCCATCCCTGGGGTTCTGAGCCATTCCTGGGGCTCTGAGCCCTTCCAGGAATGCTGAGCCCTTCCAGGGGCTCTGAGCCCTTCCTGGGATGTTGAGCCATTCCAGGGGCTCTGAGCCATTCCAGGGATGCTGAGCCCTTCTAGGGGCTCTGAGCCATCCCTGAGGTTCTGAGCCATCCCTGGGGCTCTGCCCCCCCTGCAGGCACAGCAGGGATGTCCCTGCCTGCTCCAAGCCCCCTCCTCCCTGCACAGCCCCACTCCAGAGGGAGAAGCTGCTCCTCCCACCCAGGATTTGGGGTTGGGTTTGGTTTTTTTTTTTGGACCTCAGGCTTTTCCTGCCCCAAACTGTCCCGAGTTGTAGCTGGGGGGTGATTTGGGGGGGCAAGAGCTGGGGCACAGCCCGGGGTGGGGCAGAGCAGGGCGTAGATTGTGGCTCCTCTTCCCAGGGCTCTGCAGGTCCTTCCCCTCCCCATTCCCAGGGATCCCTCAGCACCCCATGGATGGAGCACGTCCTCACGTGCCTTTCCTGTGCCCCCAGCCCTGCCCCCACTGACCCTCCTTGGGGGGCAACACACCCCTGTGCCCCCAATAACCCTCTCTGGGGGGCAACACACCCCTGTGCCCCCATCCCTGTGCCCCCAGTGACCTTCTTTGGGGGACAAAGCACCCCATGACCCCAATAACCTTCTTTGGAGGGGCAACACACCCCTGTGCCCCCACTGACCCTTTTTGGGGGGCAATGCACCCCATGCCCCCACAGATCCTTTTTGGTGGACAACACACCCCTGTGCCCCCACAGATCCTTTTTGGGGGCCCAACACACCCCTGTGCCCCCATTCCTGTGCCCCAAGGGACCCTCTTTGGGGGACAACACACTCCTGTGCCCCCAGTGACCCTTTCTGGGGGATCAATGCCCCCCTGTGCCCTCAGTGACCCTTTCTGGGGGATCAATGCCCCCCTGTGCCCCCAGTGACCCTTTCTGGGGGATCAGTGCCCCCCTGTGACCTCAGTGACCCTCTCTGGGGGGTAACACACCCCTGTGCCCCCA